GAAAAAAGGGCCAGGCCGTCTTAATTCCCCCGCCTTGCATCTTCAGGTGGGCGGGGGGCGACAGCTTGGATGTTGACCTCGGCGTTGGTGGGGCACTTCATATCGGGGTCAATGCAGGCAGCACCATATCCGGGTGTGCAACAAAAGTACTTCCTAACGGCAACCCCCCCACACCATTCCCCCCCATTTCGCATGTTTTAATATAGGCCTTAATTTGGGGGGAGGGGCTTAATTTCATTTCATGCCTATAAAACATGTTGGGACTTCCTATTGCAGGAGGCCTTATTGTTGGAGAAACAGGGTAGCAGAAGATATAAAATGAAATAGGCTTGTGAAAGGTGAAATAAAGAAGAGCCTCCCTTAATATCTGCCGGTCTTGTAGGTTGGAATTTGATTCAAATGTCATCTGTCAGGACTTCGGAAGTCCACCTTTTGTAATGGAATGAGGAAAAGATCTTGGGAGACTGGGTGAAGAGGACCTGCCAAGAGAATGGTCAGATAAAAGACAGCATAGCCTACAGCTGGATAATGGGCAGAACAAGAGGCCCAGGGAAGACATGCCCTAGTTTCTCAGTCTGTAAAGGGGATGAGATGAGAAGAAAAGAAATGTACTTTAAGATTTGCAAGATTCTGTCAATGTAGCTTTATCATAAAGTAATATTAGCTCAGGTAGTAATGTTTCCTATCTGGTTTGCCATGCTAGGCTATCCCAATCTTGCAAGTCCCATCTTCTTTCCCACTGTTAGCCACTTCCAGAAAGGTTGGTAACTGCCTTGCCTATTAATGTGCATATGTATGTATGTACTGGTCATGTGATACTCTACCTTGCCATGTCTGTTCATTGGTCTTTCATGTAGGCCAGTTTGTTCAGTCCGGTACTTGTCAATGGAGATTATCAATCATCCAGGTCATGGTTGTCTTGGACTTTCTTGGTGTTTTTTTTTTCTTTGAAAAAGTTTTGCTTCTCACCCAAGAACTGCAGAAACTTTTGGATGAGAAGCAAAGTGTTTTCAAAAAGAAAGAAAAAAAACAAGAAAGTCTAGTTTCCTTTGGGACAGCCCAGTATTCAGTAAACCTTCATGGTACCCTACCTTCAATGCATTTTTGTCACTGTCCATCATGAAGTGCATTCTTCCAGTGCCCTTTTTTCTTCTGCAATTAACTGGTGTACAGGTAGTCCTTGACTTATGATCACAATTGAGTCCAAAATTTCTGTTTCTAAGCAAGACCATTGTTAAATGAATTCCACCACCCACCACCCATTTTATGCCCTTTCTTGCCACAATTGTTAACTAAATCACTACAATTGTTAAGTTAGGGATGCATTTGTTAAGTGAATCTGGCTTCCCTGTTGACTTTGCTTGTCAGGAGGCCACAAAAGGGGAGTACATGATCTGGGGACAACTATAAATGTGAATCAGTTGCCAAACATCTGAACTTTGACATGTGACCATGGGTTGTAAGTGTGAAAAATAATCATAAGTCACTTTTTTCAGTACTGTTGTAACCTTAAATGGTCACTAAAAGAGCTCTTGTCAGTCAAGGACTACCTGTATTTACAACATTCCATCTATGCTCTTTGGTAAGTAGAATTTCTCAATGATGCATGGACGAAGGGCATGATTCATTCTAATCCGTTTTTTCAATCCAAGGCTTTTAGTTCTGCTTGAGTCCATTCCATTATTCTAGTTGTGTATCTAATGACTGGAAATGTCCCAGATGTTAATCGCTTTGATGGTATTCAACCCACTTTTCTTTTATTGGTCCTATAGAGCTGCTGGCTCTGGTTGTTCAGCCAAGAGTCCTGAATCCTAACCCATTTGTCACCAGATGTCCAAAACTTCAGCACCTAGGGCAGTAGTGGCAAACCTTTTTCGGCTTCTGTGCTGATAATTGCGTGTGCGCTCAGGTGCCAGCACCCAGAAGGCAATGTGTGCTGGGCCCGCCCACCCCCCTGCGCATGCGTGCGCAATCCCCTTGCAGTGCGCCACATGTCTGCACATGTGCACGCGATCACCTTGCAGCACTCTGTGCGTCTGTGCATGCGTGCGCGATCATCCTCCTACACCATCCATCTGCACATGTGTGTGCGACCCCCCCCCCCCCCCCCCCCCTCCCCATTTGGGCCCCCCCCCCCCCCCCCCAGTGCAGGCTGCATATTTCTGCTCCCCCCCCAATCACACCAGATACCTGACAATCAGCTGTCGGGTAGCAGTGGCACATGTGCATGCGCAGTGGTGCTCTTCTGGGCGAGTTCTCTCGCGTGCCAGGGGAAATTGCTTTGCATGCCCTTCTAGCACACGTGCCATAGGTTCGCCATATGTACCTTGTTGACCTGAGTGGGGATCAATCTGGTAAGAATTTCTAAAAATTACATCTCACTATATTGATTATTATTACCTTGAACATCTCTGTCAACATCTGACATATCTACTGATATCTGAGTCAGGCCAAATATTAATGCTTTCATATCAAGGGAGGGTTTTTTAGTTTTGGGTTTGATATAGAAGGTATTTACTCAGCCAAGAAGGTAAGAGTAAGAAATATTAATAATTATAGAAATAGAGCAAAATGAAGAAATCCTTGAAGATGAATGTTGTTTATCTATTTCCAGTCCAGTCTGCTGCAATACCAGTTCTATTGCTTCTTGCCATCTAAGTCCAATGCAGTAAATTTAAGAATAGATTAATATGTATTATAAAATTACTGCTAATATACTCAAGAAAGTTAAGTACTTTCTTCACTAACTTATAATTCCCCCAGCTGTCAATTCAATTTTAGTTTCCATAAATCTCGGCTATGATGGTCAATGGAGATGTTTTCTGAGTTTTGAAGTTACTGTCCAATATATCTAAATCCAATCACGTCAGGTGTCAAAAGGGTCTCCATGTGATAATGTGTGTGTGTGTGTGTGTGTGTGTGTGTGTGTGTGTGTGTGTGTGTATCATTCCCAGAACATTATCTCTTCTGGATCTTGCTGAGAAAGGGAAAGTTCTGGAACATTATGACTTCCACATCCATTGTTACTAGCAGTGTAATTTGTTTCATAAAAATCATTCTGCAAATCAAATGTATTGTGAATATTGATGGTGGCATTTTTGCATAAAATCATTAAGAAAAAAAACTTCTCTTCAAATTTCATGAATGGAATTTGCTAATCCAATAATAGATTGCATTAGACTATGTACTAGATTATCTTTAAAGAATTATACATCATCCATCAAATTTATTTATATGCCAAGGAACCAATCCTAAAATTAAACTTGATAACACCAAGTTCTCCAAGTGCCCTGGAGAAAATCCCCCCCTCCTCGATTCATGTATGTGAAATACCTTGGTTGACCTTTAATACTTATATTTTGACTCTGCTAGATAGGTACTAGATGCTACTTCATTTCAGGTAGCATCATATTTAAGGACAATTATGAACTAACATTAAAATTAAGGTGTCCTGTAATATGTCTGTTTAGTTATTTATTGAACAATGTAAATATTGGCAGCTTGAAAGATTCTTGGCAATTTATTATTACCATCAGTAGTAATAAAACATCAACAAAACAATCCCCAGCATAAATTTTACAATCACAATAAAATACTACAATTAAAGGAAATATTATTTAACAATTTTAATAGTTTTAAAATCATTTTAATTAAACAAATCTTTTTTCAAACTACTTTCTTGACCAGGGATCAGGACCCTTTCATCTGATCTTTGCCTTGGTGGTAGCTCTTCTTTTTGTCTTTCAAGGCCATTCTCTCTCTCCTTTACAAATGCCTACTTTCTTTCCAGAAAAAAAAATCAATAAACCTGAGAAACGTCAATTGTTCCATCAAGCACATGGGATAAACTTCCTAACAAGGACACCACACTTGCAGAGATTAAGTATGGCAGCAATGTGCACATGAACAAAATAATGACTCAACGGTGGCCAAATACCAATATCAATGTCCTCCATCTTCAGATTATATCTCATCTGCTTTAAGGGAAAGGCAAGATATATCATTAATAATAATATAATATCTAATAAAAGATTATTATATCTATTATATGTGTTGGGTCCAAGATCACTGTCAGGCCCCTGTCAGAATCTGATTCTGAGGGTGAGGCTGAGCAGCTGACAGGGAGTGGGAGTGTGGCTCCCTTGGCTGTGGAAGAAACTGGGGAAAGGCAAAGGGCAGAGCAGGGGAGAATTAGAGCAAGGCAGAGGGGTTTCAGAGGAAGAAACCCCCTCTTCATCCTAGGGCATGCAGGGAAGAATGGAGAAGGGAGCAATGTGAGTTGCATGGCTTACGGGGGAGGAAAGGGCCCTGATTCTCTTCATTAGCTGTAGTTGGAAACACAGTGTTTAAAAAGGGAGCTTGTGCACAGCAACTTGTTGGGAGCAAATCATGTTATCTTTTGTTGCCGAGGCTTATCTGGGTTCCTGGTGTCTTCCCAACTGTGTGTGTTTTGTTGGTCTTTGAAGTCTGCAATTCCTTATCCTGCCCTGTCCAGTTGCTGCAGCATGGTTTGTATGGATTTTTATTTACCATTTATATGTACTTTGTTTTCGGACTGAATTTCTTCAACTTAAAGATTGTTCTTGGGAGTTTTTTCTCCAGCTGAAGGTAACTGGACATTGGGGGCAAAGTTGGAGGTATTAAAGGGACTTTCCTTACTTATGTTGCCTTTGTGCCATACCCCGAGTCATCACAATCATGTGCAACAAGCCCATGTTTGCCATAGAAGCTGTGAGATTCCAAGCCCAAATGAATTACTCACCCAAGGCATGGAGAATGAAATCCTTCAGCATTGTTGCCTGGAAGACTTTAAAACCAGCTGAACTATGATTTCCAGGAGCCCATTTAGTTAAATGCGTATATAATACATATAACAACATCAAAGACTTCATTTTAACTGTTTACAAGTTTATAAGAGCAGTAATATTTCAATAATGCATGAGGATATAGAATTACAATAAGGATAAGGCTGTCATTGTTACATAGTATTTTCACTGCAATTATTCATTTTTCTTGTTATGAAACCGTGCCCACAGACCGCTTCTTATACTTCCTGGTAGTTTTTGGTTTTTTTCTATTAAAGTCTGTAAACTATTTTGTACCTATTAGAAGAAGAAAACACATATGTAAATTTTTCTTGACTCCCCTGAATGCTTTTGCTTAATGACATTCACATATAGATCAGTTTACCTTTTTCACCAGCTCGTCCACAGTTATGTTTGGATCATATGGTATAGGTTTTCCAATATGTGTACGCCATTTCACCGGAAAACCTCCATACAAAATAATTAGTGGCCATCGAACATATTCGTATAAGTGTTCTATATGATGAGAAAATTAAGTTGCATATTAAGTATATAAGACAGTCTTCAAGGTTAGGTTCAGATAAACGGCATTCTAAAGTTAAATTATATGATTTTATGGTTTTATTGTCTTTTATGGTTTCTACTTCATTAAAAATTTCTTCAATAAAAACATTTTAAAAGGTGATGTAAAATTACAGCAGCTCCTAAATTATCAATGCCTATTATATCATTGGTGACAACTATTAAATCAGCATTCTGTATCATTCTATGTTCAGCATACAATATAACTGCATATATGAAAACATTTCTTCTTGTTTTTATTATTTTTTTTTCATCTGGAATGTCAGAAATATAGGGAGACTTAGGGCTATTTGTCTATCGACATATTAATTCTCAAAACAGAAGAGAATAAAACCAAATTTATGATGATGGGCCAAGTAGGAAAAGAGAGTTATAAAATTTGTCAAGGACCCTGGAGTATTCATATCAAATGACCTAAGCACCAGAGCTCACTGTTGCCAAAAAGGCATTAAGAGTTGTAAATCTAATCTTACGAAGCTTCTCCTCCAGTAATATTGAATTGCTAACTAGGTCATACAAAACCTTTGCTAGACCAATACTTGAATACAGCTCATCTGTCTGGAATCCCCACTGTATAATCGGACATTAATACAATTGAGCGAGTCCAGAAGTATTTCACGAAAAGAGTACTACACTCCTCTGCTTGCAACAGAATACCCTACACCACCAGGCTTGAAATGTTGGGCTTGGACAACCTAAAACTACACCACCTATGGTTGGATTTAAGCATAGTACACAAAATTATCTGCTACAATGTCCTACCAGTCAATATCTACTTCAGCTTCAACTGCGACAATACAAGAGCACACAACAGATACAAACTCAATGTAAACTGCTCCAAACTTGATTGCAGAAAGTACAACTTCAGCAACAGAGTGATCAATGCCTGGAATGCACTACCTGACTCTGTTGTTACATCCTCAAACCCCCGCTTCTTTAACCTTAAACTATCTACTATTGACCTCACTCCATTACTAAGAGGTCTGTGAGGTATGTGCATAAGTGCACAATCATGCCTACCGTCCCTGTCCTATTGTCCCAATTTATTCATACCTATTTCCTGTATTCATACTCATGTTTATTCTTATACCTATCATCTTGTAAGTGATCGACAAATCAGATCAAATCAATCAATCAATCAATCAATAAAATGGTTTGGACCTGTTCAGATTGTTCAGATTCAGAGGCTATCCTTTTTCTGGGACAAAAAGTTTTGGAAAAACATCCACCAGTGCGGACCTTGGAGATAAGCAGTTAAGTGACTCCTTGGGTGTGCTACTGATTGCTCCAGTTTAAACTTACCTATTTCCTCTCTCCTGATCATGTGACCTGGGTGGAATTCTATGCATCACAGTATACACATAAACAAAAAAAAATTTACACAAGGAGAGGCCAAAAGCAGACACACTCCCAAAAGCATCCACCTTGATGGACTTTTACATACAGACACAGATGTAGTTAAGCTGGCAATACATATCACCCAGCCTAAATGACATCTTCACACAAACATACAGACACAGAGACAAAGTATGCACTTAACACAACCATAGTTATTAACATCTCATTAGTTTATCACACAGACAACTTCAGTAGCTATGTTGCTAAAGAATTAGAAAAATTTCCAGAAGTATGTTCTGCCTTGCTTAGTGAGCATATTTCAAATACTAAACTATTTAAAATGTGGGTTCTTAGACTGCAGACAATACAAGTAGCAACATAATCTAGAAATATGCAGTTTTCCAGTAAAATAAAATCTACAAGCAGAAAAAAACACTGGTCAAGTGGAATAAAATCAGAAATGTTATGTATATGCTGGATTGTACCAGTAAGCTTAGACCTCAGAGGATGGGTGAACTTGTGAGGTGGTTCCACTATTACTAACATCCCTTTGTTTGTTATTTATTTGTTTTGTGTTTTATAGCTTTTAATTTTTATGTTATAATTGCATGAGTCACTTGCTTGTGAGATGGAGGGATAAATTAGAAAAAAATAACTGGAAATTAATATTTTAATTTTTGTTGTTGATAATAAGGAAAGGGTATTGATAATGATTTTAGACATTTATTTTCCCAGTCTTGGTGTACACTACCCAAACTTACTTACATTTGAGATGGAATAAATAAATAAATAAATAAATAAATAATAAAGCCATTAGTAAAACTTGCTCAGTAGAAAATTCCATCTTTCTGCAAAATCACTGTGTTGGAGTTAACAAAATATAAAGTATTTATTTTATATAAAATAAATACTATTTGTTTATTTGAGTGTTTAGGAACGTCGACATAGTTTATTTTAAAAAACAGATTATAAATTTAGAAAATATATAATATGTTTAACTTACTTATTTGTCCAAATATCTTATAACCTTCACGAGTGTTCTCTGTAAACATTGGAATTATGGGCTAAGGGAAAAGAAGAAGGGAAGCAAATATCAACTTCATTTATTTAAAATATTTCCTTTTAATAACTGGTAATTTGAAGAACATGTTCTTTGGTTGTAAATATATAGCCCGTTCCTAATTACTGTAGCAGCTTCCTCATGTCCTTTATTTACAAAGTTATTAGATGTATATCTCATCTTCCTGCCAGAAGCTTAAAGTGACATTTATAACATCCCCTCCTTTGAGTCTGTCTCTCTTTAAAAACAACCCTATAGGATAGAGGTGCTGAAAGATAATAATTGACTCAAAGTCACTTTGTGACTTTCCATGGTTGATGGTAGTCTTGAACTAGGAACGTCCCAGTCATAATTTATCATCCTCCCAAATGTTTGTGCATTGTGTGTTAGAACTACATTACAAACAAGGATGGGATTCAACCAATGTTACTATTGGTTTGGAGATTACGTTTTGTTTCGCTGCTCACGCGTGTAAAAAAAAAAAGCTGTGCCACCTGGACAGCTGAAAAGCGCTGTGCACGGGTGCGCAGTGTTTGAAAAGCTTCTTTTTTTCCTGTTTTTTCAACCTCAGCTGTGCCACACAAAGCAGATGAGTTTGAAAAAGCAGGAAATAAAGGACAAGTAAGAGCCCGGGCGGACGGGCGGGCAAAACAGCAGCAAACACAGAACCAGTTCGATGTCTGCTGCTCTTCAGAGCTACTAGTTCTATAGAACCAAGCTGAACCAGTAGCATCCCACCCCTGATTACAAATAGAATGATAATGAATGGGAAAGTCACATTATATAGGTGTCTTTTTCATGCATTGTCAATTTATTAATTTGATTTAGATGCCACTTGACTCTACAAATAGTTTGGTCTAGTGCAGGGGTGTCAAACTCACATCATCACAGCAGCACCACATGATGTATCATGACTTTTTCCCCCTTCGTTAAACAGGGCATGGGCGTGGCCAGCATGTGGCTATGGCCAGCACCTGACACCTGTGGACCATGAGTTTGACAGCCCTGGTCTAGTGGTAACAGCATTGAGTTAGAAAGCAGGACACTTTGAGTTCAAGTTCTAGCTTAACCATGAAATCCAGTGGGTGACTTTGGGCCACTCATACTCTCTTAGCCAACCCACTTCACAGGACTGTGGTTGAGGGAGGAGATGTGTTGGATATGTTGCCTTGTGTTATTTGTAAAAATAATAAGGGTGGGATACAAATTAAATAATAAGATAACTGTCATGGAATTAATAAAAATGGAATCCGATGGATGTTGTGGAATAGACAGTGTGATTTCTCCATGTACGAGCATGGTGGTGTAGTGGTTAGAATGCAGTACTGCAGGCTAACTGTGCCCACAGCCAGGAGTTAGATTCTGATTGTCTCAGCCTTACATCCTTCCAAGATCAATAAAATGAGGACCCAGGTTGTTGAGGGAAAATATGCTGAATCTGTAAACCACTTATAGGGTTCTGTAAAGCACTATGAAGCAGTATATAAGTCTATATGTCATTCTTATTGCTATGTACTTAGTGGGACTTACCACTCTTGCTTCTAAAGCAACTTTTGCAAAACCTTTGCGTTTACCCCATAACATCTTATAGGTTTTATCACTAAAGATGGCTTCTCGTGTTCCTCCTGGTGAAATAGCCAGCCAATTGCCATTCTTCAGGGCATGAAGACATTCTTCCTTAGAGCCAGTTATCATTTTCAATTTACTGCCAAGCATTTTTAAGCCTGAAGGAAATAAATAAAATGAATTAAAAAATAAAATTAAAAAAATATTTTTGAGAGCAGAAAGCTGAACAAGGTAATAAGAAAGTATATTTTTGAAAGACTAAATTGCTTTATTTCTGAAATAAAGCAATCAGCACTACTAATTTATTTTTTTAACTTTGTCAGTGATGGTCAACATGTTTTAGCTGGGAAGAAAATGACAAACCATCCAGCCAACATACAAAAAATAAGATCCAAGAATTGTTTTATTTCAGATTGAATTGTTTTCATTTTGAACAGTAAATCTCTTATTTTCTTATTTTCTTATTCATTAATAAATAGCAACAACATTATTTTTCAGTTTCTAATAATATAAGCATTTTGCTGGACTGCATTTTAAAGTAAGCCTGTAACATGTAGATTTTGAAGACCTAATGACTAGAAAGTAGAACTCTTCAGTTATAATCTGTTGTGAAATTTCCTCTACCCTAAAGATTTCAAATCATTATGTTATAGGAAAGTATAATCCCCATATAAATATTGTAATGTATAACGTGTTATAATATGATTATATATGTGTATGGATGTATATATAGATCTTTGCTAGCTGCTGACAGAGACAGCTAGGAAAAGGCTTCTGTCTTAGTATTAGCCTATGCATGCTGAAAGTCCTCCAGAAGACATGGCTTCATGAAGGTGGTTGAAGTGGCCTATCTTGGGGTCAATTCCCTAGCATTGACCTCAGATTAATCTGACACCACCTAAATTGCTTTATCAAGGCAAATTTGATATCTTCTTTCTTTCGAGATAACAAATCAAATCATTTTCATAGCTTCAGTAGCTTGCTCAGTGTGAACATGTATTACTTTGCAGAAATCTATTATGTATATTGTGCTCTCTTTGAGTACTGTGTACTGTGATTCCTGAATTGAAACTCCTCTGTATTAATATTAATTTTATTTTCATATTGCTTTTCCTCCTGAACCTATTCAGAGCAATGTACAAGAAGAATAGAAAACAATTTTAAAGTCCCCATGGTAAAAATAAGAAATGCAAATACTACTACTACTACTATTACTAATAATCATAACTTAAATTTTGAACTTAAACTTTCAATTATTATTACACTTTTATTCATTAAACATGAAATTCAGTCAACTGAACATTTAAAAATATATCACAAATGTAATTGACTGGTGCTAATGGTTGATATGAATTACTGCCAGCATTCTAGGTATTGACCAAGCATCTTTTTAAAATGTACGATGTTCTGAGTGGCGCAGTTTTTTGCAGTTCTGCTGATGTTATTGCAGGAAGCTGCAATTTCTTGATGTATTTTGTAACAGTCTTGGACATGGTGCCAAGTGCCCTGATGACAATAGGTATCGCCGTCACATGTTTCACCCATAATTGCATAGTTTTGATTGCCAGGCCATGATATTTTGTGCTTTTTATTCTAGTTCTTTTTCTTTGACTCTGGCATCTCCTGGTATCAATAAATTGTACACTCAGTTTTTGATGATTGTGATATCTGGTGCATTATTATTATTATTATTATTATTATTATTATTATTATTATTATTATTATTATTATTACCGTGATTCTCACATAATAAGGCCGGGCCTTATTGTTTTTTGACCCCCGAAAAAACGGCTAGGCCGTCTTTTCGGGGGTGACTTAATTCCCCCCCTTGCATCCTCGAGTGGGTGGGTGGGCGGCAACAGCTTGGATGTTCAGGAGACCTTCGGGTTCGGGCCACCGTTGCTTCCCCTTCTCCCTTGCTGCCGTGGCATTAGAGCAACACCGCGGCGTTTGGCACAGCCATGTGCGGCCAGTCAGGGCTCCTCCCTGCAACTGGAGCCCTGAGAAGACACTTGGCTTCAGGCACTTACGTTGCCTTTCTTTGAGGTGGAAGAGCTCGCTGGGCTGAAGGGACCGGCACGTCAGAGACGTGCAGTGTAGGGAGGTCGGGGAGGAACTGAAGAGGCCCTGGGAGATTCACCTCCCCACGTGGGGTTGGGCTGCCCTCTTGGGCAGGGCTTTGTTGTAGTAGGGTGTCATTTTTAAAATAATTCGCTTTACCTTCAAAAGCAAAGGGAAGGCGGCTACGGGAGCGCCTGAAGCCAAGTGTCTCCTCAGGGCTCTGGTTGCAGGGAGGAGCCCTAACTGGCCGCACGTGGCTGTGCCAAACACCGTGGCATTGTTCTAATGCCGCGGCCGCAAGGGAGAAGGGAAAGCACTGGTGGAAGGTCTCCCAATATAAAGTGCCCCACCAACGCAGGCAGCACCATATCTGGGTGTGCAACAAAAGTACTTCCTAACGGCAAGCCCCCCCGCCATTCCCCCCCTATTTTGCATGTTTGATATGGGCCTTAATTTGGAGGGAGGGGCTTAATTTGATTTTATGCCAATAAAACATGGTGGGGTTTCCTATTGGTGGAGGCCATATTGTTGGAGAAACACAGTATTATTATTTCTACTTTTATGATGGAGATTTTAACAACAAAAACAATAATAATAAGTCAAGATCCGAAGAGGAATTGGAGTCAACATTGACACTGAATCTTCTAGGGGACTCACGTTTGCCACTACTGATCCAGACCGCATTAATTTCACTGACAATAATCCTACAAGAGACAAAACTTGGATACCAAATCTCAAGCCAACATGGCAAGATAAACCCTCTATATACATCGATGTGAAAAGTCCCACAGAACTTAAATCAATACTCAACACAGTTCAACTGTTCAGCAATGACATCAGAATGAACTATGGGCCAAAAAATGTGCTGTATTATCCATGCAGCGAGGAAAAATAGAAAAAATAGAAGGAATGGAACTGGGAAATGGAAGCATCATGAAAGCACTAGCAAAAGATGACTGTTACAAATACTTAGATATATTGGAAGCAGATAACATCTTGAATGGAAAAGTCCAAAGGAATACATCAGGAGGGTCTGCAAAATATTAAAATCAAAACTGAATTCTGGAAACACGATTAAAGCCATTAATACATGGGCAGTTTCAGTGATACACTACCCAGCTGGAATAATCAACTGGACTTTGGTTGAACTGGAAATTTGGATCAGGAAATGTGTGAACTTTTGAATATGTACAACACTTTACATCCACGAAGTGACATTGACAGGTTGTACCTGCCAAGAAGAATAGGTGGCAGAGGGCTACTGCAAGTCCATCAAACTGTAGAAGAAGAAAAGCGAAGTTTGAATAACTATGTGAACCAAAGTACAGGAAAATTACTGCAGGCTGTGAAAATGAAAAACAACAGAATATAACAGAAGCAGAATATAAGGAAAAACAGCTAGATGATAGATTAAATAGATGAAAAACCAAAGCTCTGCATAGATAGCACTTAAAAAACATTGAAGGAAAATGTGATAACTACTTGACATAGGCATAGCTTAAGATGGGAAATGATGCTCTAGAGCACGGCACACCAGAACAACTAAACATAAGGACAGTTTTTCCCTGAATGCCATCATTCTGCTAAACAAATAATTTCTTCAACACTGTCCAACTATTACTATTAATCTTTTCATCACTCCTTATCACCCATCCCCTCCCACTTGTGACTGTATGACTGTAACTTTGTTACTTGTATCCTTACGATTTATATTGACTGTTAGTATGATTTGATTGCCTATTGTACCCTATGACTATTATTAAGTGCTGTACCTTATGATTCTTGACTCTTAATGAATGTATCTTTTCTTTTATGTACACTGAGAGCATTTGCACCAAGACAAATCCCTTGTGTGTCCAGTCACACTTGGCGAATAAAGAATTCTAAATGCCAAATGCTAAATCAAGAAAGAAATGGAAGGTTTAATACTCACTGCTCAAGAAGAAGCACTGCAAACTAATATCATGAAAGCGAAGATACAAAAAAACTCATTGACAATCCAAACTGCTGACTTTGCAATGACAAAGTTGAAACTGTTTAACATTTGATATGTGAGTGCAGCAAAATCGCACAAACTGATTACAAAGCTAGACATGACCGAGTGTTAAACTAATCCACTGGTCATTATGTAAAAAATACAACTTACCTTTATCTGAAAAGTCATAGGAACACAAAGAGGAAAAAGTTGTCAAAAATGAGAAGGTGAAGATCTTGTGGGACTTTCGAATACAGACGGATCGTCATTTAGAACACAACATGCCAGATATCACAGTCATTGAAAATCAAAGCATACAATGTATTGATATCACTGTACCAAGAGACTCCAGAGTCAAAGAAAAAGAAGTAGAAAAAAAATCACAAAATTTCTCGACCTGGCCATCGAATCTACGTGATGGCCAGGTTGAGATATACATGGATGAAACATGTGACATCGATACCCATTGTCATTGGGGCACTTGGCACCATGTCCAAGTATTCTACAAAATACATCAAGAAATTGCAGCTTCCTGCAATAACACCATGGAACTGCAAAAAACTGCGTTACTCAGAATATCGTACATTTTAAGAAGATACTTGGTCAATACCTAAGATTCTGGTAGCAACCATCCACCATCAGTGCCAGTCAATAATATGTGTGCACATTTTTAAATGTTCAGCTGACTGAGTTTCATATTTAAGTTTCATGTATCATCATCATCATCTTTAAAGGACATCCAAAGCAGCTGTTATCCCATGCCTGCCTAAGTAAACAGGCATTTTTTCAAAACAGAGCAACTTTGAACTTTAATCAAAGAGAATTCCATAAATGGAGCTCAACAGGAAAGAAAATATGTCTGTGAGACAATCCACAAATAGTTATTCAAGTTTACATGTATTCCAAAATCCAAAAATACTTTCAGCCTGAACTACTGCAAATAAATTTTATAATAAAATGAAGCAGAAGGACAATATATTGTCAGCTCCTTTAGATGGACTATATATCTATAAATGCAATAATACCTGGCAACTTAAAGACAAATTGATCAACCACTGTATAGCAACACAATCTCTTTTTCAGGAAAAAGATCTTTGCTAGAAAAAATATATAATCTATAGGAAATGGAGCATGATAATAAATAATCAGGCCTGGTCCATCTGGTAGATTTTCTACTCCATGTAATTCATAACCTGTTTTAATACAAAGCAAAACAGAATATTGTCATTCATATAATCAACTGCATCATGTGACTTTATTATAACCAAGAGGTTCCAAAGTATCTATAGATGATAATTATGCTTGATCTATTATTAAATCACAGTAGTCTCTACTTCTACTAAAATAGCACAGAATTATATTGTCTGATAGAATTATTAAATTGTGCATCGTTTGTTTCATGGAGAATAGGCAACTGGAAAATTTAATGACCCAAATACTTCCACTTGCCAAATAACTAACTCTAAGTATCTCTACTGTTTTTTTAAAAATTTTATTAAAAACACATAGATAAATTATTAGACGTTTGCTGATTAATAAGGTGAATCCAAAATTTTGACATATATTAATAGAAAAAGTTTCAATTGTTTGCATGGCACAGTTGCTGGCATGCCATGGTCTACAGCTGATCCATGGACTGGAGGTTGGGGACCTCTGCCCTAATGCAACAAGCATTAATTCTGCAAGTTTCAGTTTGATCAGTGACAGAGGAACAAGCTGATCCTATAAGTATTTTTTTTTAAATAAAAAAATCATGTTTATGTTCTATTATATACAGGTGAAACTCGAAAAATTAGAATATCATGCAAAAGTTCATTTATTTCAGTAATGCAACTTAAAAGGTGAAACTAATATATGAGATAGACTCATTACATGCAAAGCAAGATAGTTCAAGCCATGATGTGTCATAATTGAGATGATTATGGCTTACAGCTCATGAAAACCCCAAATCCACAATCTCAGAAAATTAGAATATTACATGCAATCAATAAAACAAGGATTGTACATAGAACAATATCAGACCTCTGAAAAGTAGAAGCATGCATATGTACTCAGTACTTGGTCTGGGCCCCTTTTGCAGCAATTACTGCCTCAATGCGGCGTGGCAAGGAAGCTATCAGCCTATGGCACTGCTGAGGTGTTAGGGGAGACCAGAATTCTTCAATAGCAGCCTTCAGCTCTTCTGCATTGTTCAGTCTTATGACTCTCATTTTTTCTTGGCAACGCCCCATAGATTTTCTATGGGGTTCAGGTCGGGCGAGTTTGCTGGACAATCAAGCACAGTAATCCCATGGTCATTGAACCAGGTTTTGGTGCTTTTGGCAGTGTGGGCAGGTGCCAAGTCCTGCTGAAAAATGAAGTCAGCATCCCCATAAAGCTTGTCTGCGGAAGGAAGCATGAAATGCTCCAAAATCTCCTGGTAGATGGCTGCATTAACCCTGGACTTAATGAAGCACAGTCGACCAACACCAGCAGATAATATGGCTCAACACAAACTGTGGAAACTTCACACTGGACTTGCATCTTGCAGTGTGCGCCTCTCCATTCTTCCCCCAGATTCTGGGTCCTTGGTTTCCAAATGAGATGCAAAAGTTGCTCTCATCAGAAAAGAGGACTTTAAACCACTGAGCAACTGACCAGTTCTGTTTTTCTTTAGCCCAGGTAAGACACTTCTGACATTGTTTGTTGTTCAGGAGCAGCTTGACAAGAGGAATACGACATTTGAAGCCCATGTCCAGGATCCGTCTGTGTGTGGTGGCTCTTGATGCACTGACTCCAGCTTCAGTCTACTCCTTTTGAAAGTCCCCAATACTTTTGAATGGCCTTTTCCTGACAATCCTCTCCAGGCTGCTGCTTGTGCAACTTTTTCTTCTACACTTTTCCCTTCCACATAACTTTCTATTAATGTGCTTTGGGAACATCCAACTTATTTTGCAATGACTTTTTGAGGCTTTCCCTCCTTAAGGAGCGTGTCAATGATGGTTTTCTGCACAACTGTCAGGTCAGCAGTCTTTCCCATGATTGTGATTCCTACTGAACCAGACTGAGAGACCATTTAAAGACTCAGGAATCCTTTGCAGGTGTTATGGCTTAATTAGCTGATTAGAGCTCTAGGCTCAAAACTAGGGACACTTTGAGCCTAGAATATTGAACCTTTTCACAATATTGTAATTTTCTGAGATTGTGGATTTGGGGTTTTCATGAGCTGTAAGCCATAATCATCTCAATTATAACAAATCACGGCTTGAACTAACTTGCTTTGCGTGTTACGAGTCTATCTCATCTATTAGTTTCACCTTTTAAGTTGCTTTACTGAAATAAATGAACTTTTGTACGATATTCTAATTTTTCAAGATACACCTGTATTGTGTAGACAATAGAAATACCTGTTTTTACTCTAACTAATCAAACCAGCACCTATTATTACCATTCAATTAAATCAGGGTATCCAGACAAAGATCTCCTGAATAACATGTAATTAATACTAGATTATGTTTTGCTAAATATTTTAGTTATGATTATTGTTTTGCTGAAGCAGTAGCTCAGGACAGTAGAAACTAGTTAATGCAGTAGCTTATCTAATTAATAAGTCATTTAAATGTGATATTTAAATATGGGTAGTGAACATATAGATAGATTACAGAACTTAAAGCAGACTTATCTGAACTCAAACCCCAGTATTCATATTTCAATGAATTTAAGAAATGTTTGGTGGCAAATATAAACATCAGAAATAAGACCTTTTCCCCAGAAGAAGCAAACCCAGAAGAATAAATATTTCTTACCATGCCATATTTTTCCAAAGAAGTCCCAAAGATGTCCCAAAATAAAATAGTAGCTTCTTTGGGCCTCTTCTTTACTTTTACTACACATCTTACAAAGCAGGACAATGAAAACAGATAGGTAGATATAGAAAAAAATCCAAATTGGAATTGCCATTAATGCCACTGAGGGCCATAAGACTGCGGAAATAAAATATTTCTCCAAGCACATGGGAAGCCATTCTCCATTTATGTATGGCAGACTTATTGTGGAGTTCATAAGTACCAGTACGAAATATGATGTTGTTTATTTTCTGAAGAGAAGGGGGGGGGGGAATCAAAGAACAATATAAGATTAACAATATCCAATATAAATATTGATCTGCCACAAATCTTGCAATATAAAGTTTAGGAATACTGCCTTCCTTCCTGCAAAATGACAGCAATTATCTGTGAAAATAGTTCAAATCTTGCGAGTGCAATTTCTCAAGATTTCATGCTGGCTTCCACATGAGTCAGAAAACAAATAAACTCAGTTCCATATAAGTTTACCATGAACCTGCAGGGAGGCCAATGGCCATATTTGCAATAGCTTTCCTCTTGTAGTCAGTTATATTCAATATATAATTGCCTGCAGTAATTTGAAATCATTTCTGGGTTACAGGACAGAGGAGGGCAGCTGCAGGACTCAGAGCTTTTGAGTTTGGCTTTTTTACAATGTACAGTACTTCAAATGAGTAAGTTCCTTCAAATATCATGAAAAGTGACCATATGTTTTCATCTAACCCCTTACAGTCTATTAGAGGAACTAGCACCTTATATTCGAAAGCAGTAGAAAATATTTAGCTCATAGGCTAAAGATTCTGTAATTCTATAATCCTCAAAACCTTTTTCACATCCTACATAATTTTACATACCATTATCGTATCTTCTTTCACACTTTTCTCTAAAGAGCCAGAAATGAAACTTTTCCTCCTTGGGAAAATAATTCTGTACACAGCATTCTGGGATTCCATGATGGTATGATGGTTTTTAGCTTCATAACTAACAATCCTTAAAATTAAGTTCTCTTCTTTTCACAGCATCATTTTTGTTTACATTGTTATGTTAATTTGTTTCAATAAGCTCCTTGTCTTGTTATAATCTGAGTTTTCAAATTTTCACTCTTTTCTATGAAATTTTATACATTCAAAGTGTTTTCAGAAGAAAAGGAAATATTTTCTTGACAAATTCCACAAATTCTGACCTTGATTGGAAACTTCAGAACTCATTTAGAAAGAAAGCTATCACATAGTTTTAGAAATTAGAGTAGTATTAACACTTATAATACCATAATCTACAATTGCAGTACACCCAAGCCTTATTATCTACAGGGATTACATTCTTGAAAATCCTGCAGAAACGGAACCTGCAATTATTGATGTGTGAGATCACTTGATCTATTATCAGAACAATGTGGAGACTTGTTTACAATAAACACTGCAAGAATAAGAACATAGTTTCCCTTAGCATAATACACTCTGATGTTATGTGGTAAGCTCTGAGATTTTTTCCCTACTGAGAGTGGCCATGTATAACTGCATTGAGATCCTGTCTGATGGAAAAAGGGTTGTACTTTTATACAAGTGCATAAGCAAATACAGGACATGGGAGAGCAGAGAAGTAGAATGTTTGAATAACAAGGACTGCATGTACAAGTTAATGTAGGGCCTATGATGCATTTCTATATATGATTATTTGAAAAATATAGTTTGGTAGTTTACATCACCACATTAAAATCCTGAATGTTTTGTTTCGGATATAATGAAACCCTTGTGTGTTACTTTATATTTAACATTTTGTACTGTATGCAAAAGTTAATGCTGGTTATGAAATATACTAGGACAGTCAGACATGGACTTCAAAGTATAAGTTACTTTGCTTTCTTTTTAATTCTTTAATAGTAAGCACTGAAAAATCATTAATCCATACTTGTATATCACATTTCAACTTTCTTGTTAATTACTTATGCTACATTACATTGTACAATTAAAGAGCATTAAGCAATATTAACCTGATCTTAGATAATGGAGTAGGATACTCAGGATAACATGCACAAAACCTTAAATCCATAAGTGTTCGAGATCAAATATTTGATTAGTCTGTATTTCTAAATCTATAGCAAAGAGCAACGCTGAATATTGATGTTTCTTTAATTACCAATTAATTTCTGCTATCATATTTATTCATAAGTGGTTTAATAATGTTAAGATCAATATACATTGAATTATGTAGCTGAAATTGGAATTATATGCTACAAACAAAAGGTATTTTTTTTTTTTCATGGCAACCCAAAATATAAAGTTATATGGCAAAATAATAATGCATGTAACAGCTTTCTTCCACTCATTGATGACCTTTATTGAGGTCATAATGGAGAGAGATACAAATTCCTAACTTGAATGCTTATTGTCAGATTTTAACAAAGCTGAATTAGGAATTTGAAACTAGAAATGCAAAATTGCCCAATGAAATAAGTCATATGTTGATTGTGAAAACATTTCCCCATTTTTCTCCATAGATTTTAGCTACTTCGGTAATTCTGAAAACACACTTGTAAATTACTTTTAAATAAAAACTCTCACAGGGTCACCTTAATGTTTATAGTCCTCCATCAAATTGTACTGTTTTATCCACTTTTGTGAAATGCAAGAGGGACAATATAAATTGATATATCTTTCATTAAGGACAGAATAATTTTTGTTATATTTACTATCTATACTTATGTCTTACTTACTTACTGGACTAGCACTGAAAATGTTACCTAGTTAGGGTAATTAAACATCTGCAAGAAAACAAGCAAGCTCAGAGAGTATCATTTCAATCCTGAGCTACAAATATTCTCCTTTATTGGTGCTTACTTTCTTATGCCCTTATTCCGAGTAAATATATATATTCAGAATTTTAGCAATTTCATTACTTTGTTCCTTTAAGATTATTTAGTTATTGCTTATTAAAATCATATTATCTTAAGCAGTATTATTCAAAACTTCAAAATAACAATTTAAAAATATTACCAAAATCTGGGTATTGTCCTCTTATTGTCCTCTTCTTTTTCAAAGCCTTTTAAGTATGAATTAACTTGTAAGAGCAGTCCCAGCTTGAAATCTTTTTTTAGTTAATGGGTTTACACTTTTGATTCTTCTTTATCTGTCATATGTTGAGATGATTCTGCTGACTGTATCTTTTGAGTTTGAAACTACTTGGCTGTAGGTGTGGTTTATACAGTACTTCTAATTATTGTTTAACAACCATATCACTTCCCTTGGCTGCAAGAAGATAGTTATCTATTAATGGTCTCCTATCATTCCTTGGATTTTTGCTGTTTTTGTGCTATAACTTCATTCTTCTTCTATTGATCACCAACATTTTAATGTAAGTTCTGAAACAACATATACAAAGAAATATTTACATTATTATCACATTTTCTATAAGGTCCCCAAAAAAGAGTGAATTTTGTGACTTCAATTTATTTGCAATTTCAAAATAAACTGTTTTAATTTTATTTCTATAAAGTTATCAAACTCAGTTTAATAGACCATTTTGTGGAAACGGTTCATGATTACACTGAAATATTAATTAAATTCATATCTTCATCAATAATACAATGTAAAAATTTGCTCATGATATAGATGTATCTTGCATCGTTCACATAAATTTACATCATTGTGCAAATGATATAAATTATGTCAGTTTGGACAAGACTAGTTCAATTTAAATTTTTGTTCATTCTGAAGTCCACTTCTATTTATTTTTATTCTTTCTTTTGAATAAACATGAGTTTATCTTGTGTTGACTTTGCTTATCTACGTTCCTGTCATCTTCCCAATCATGCTGAGTTATTGTGCCTTCACTTCTGGAATTCTTGCTCCTACCCTGTTGGACCAATTACCTTATTTTACCTTGATTGGACTTATTCAGTTTTTGTTGATCACATTTTGGACTTGATTCTCTGCAGCCAAAGGCTGTTCCTGGGAGAGTTTTTCTCCAGCCAGAAGGTAACCAGGACATTGGGGGCAAAGTTGGAGCTAATAAAGGGACTCCTAATGATTATCTGACTGTGTTGCCTTTGTGCCACGCACCTGGTCATCAGAGCATGCTTTTGTGCTGGCAAATGGGCACGAGCTCACCCTGTCAAGTGGCACTCAGCTCTCAAATCTGGGCTGTCAGTTTTCCAGCTGACAAGCTCAGCATCTTTAACTGCTGAGCCACTGACCACCATCTTGTCCTACTTAGTGGCTGTTAAAATCTTTATATGGTATGTTGTTGATGACTCCTGGCTTTTCTTCTGGGACTGTTAGGTCTTTTGTTTTGCATCTCCTCCAGTTGTGGTCTCCTAATCTGCTAACATTGTAAAATTCAAAGAAATACAGGAATATGGGAAGTATTCTAGTTCAAGCCCCTGCCCTAGGCAGCAACCTTTATGGTATCCTGGGCAAATAATTATCCAATCTTTTCTTGAAAACCTCCAGCAATAGAGCACCCACAATTCTGGTAGACAAGCTTTTCCACTGTTTAATCGTTCTCATTGTCAGAAAATTTCTCCTCATTATCAGGTTGGACTCCCTCTGATGAGCTTCTATCATAGCTTCTTGACCTGCCCTCAGGTGCTATGGAGAATAAATTGATACCTTCTTCTTTGTAACAACCCTTCAAGTATTAGAAGACTGCTATTATGTCTCCCGTAACCTTTATCTTCATTAAGCTAACATACCTAGTTCCCAAGCATCATATGATTTACCCTTCAGACTCCTTATATTGCTGATGTGTTTCTCTGAGGTCTTTCTAGGTCCATGATGATACAAAAATATACAATATCTGAAATGTGGCCTTGTTAGTGCAGTATTACTTTTTGTGATCTTGAAATTCTCCCTTTGGCTTTTTTTGTAGCTGCAGCATATTGCTGTCTCACACTTATATGGTGGTTCAACAGGACACTTAGATCCCTCTCACAGGCTCCACTGTTGAGCTAGATATTCCTATCCTGTACCTGTGCATTTGGTTTTTTCCTGCCTAATGCATACCTTACTTTTCTAACCACTGAACCACATTTTACTGGATAGAGTCCAATGT